TAGTTTCAATTGTCGAAAGGCTTTTTATTTTCAATGTATGAAGGGGGGAAAACGCAAAAGATAAAGTTAAAAGTTCCACTAAGAAAATCTTATGATGAAAAAAATATGATGAAGGTTTGAGAAAGAAAAACAAATTTATTTTATGTTCGATTTGATAAGAAAAAGAAAAAGAAAAAGAAAAAAAAAATAATTTAAAAAAGTTTGTTGTCCAATAATTGAAATAAGATTATTTGTTGGTTTTGTTTTTTGTTGTTGAACAATTGAATATAATAATTTAATTAATTGATTAGCTTGAGATATGGGTGTTAAATATTGATTAAAAGAAATTGTTTGATAATCATTCGATGTAATATGTTGATTTGCTGTTAATGATGCTAGATTTTGAGAAGATTTTGAATATCGATTTTCATTTAATGAATTACATAAGTCATTTAATTGTAATTTATTTTCTAAAAAAATTCTTTCATCAATTACACAATTTGTTAAAACAATTTCATCATATTGACGATTTATATCACGAATTGTTTCCAAATAATTAAATTCATTTAAAAAATCTTCTTGTTTTATCAAGACGTTTAAATAAATCATTTTTTAAATGTTGTTCAATTATTGATCGACACATATCTGATGAACAACAGTACATCATACATAATTTATCGATTATGCTTCCATCATTTGAACATAAATCATTTAAACAACAACCTTAACAAAAAAAACAATACTTTTCTTTTCCTTTTTTTATATATTTTTATTCAATTTATTAGATTTAGTTTAATTAAATTATTTCGATTATTATATATTTATTTGACCGTTTTATTTATTTGTTTCGAATAAATCATTCACATTAGTTTGATTTTGTTGACAACAAATATCGATTTCTAACATAATAAACAGCTCGAACAATAGATATTCGATTTATGAAACTCTACAGTTGATCTATGATCGTTTCAACGAAACATTTTCCATAGTTTAATTAAGAAAAAACAAGTAGAATAGATTGAATAACTCGTTTAATATGATGAAATATAATGTCTAATATGAATATATCTTTATATTTAATTTTATTGAATAAATTAAAATAAATCGTTTATCATAGATATATATATATATATCTTACCAAATAAAATAAATATTTAAATTGCTCATCTATTAAACAATGAATATATTTGATGAAAATTCTCAGAAGATTTAATAGATATTTATATTTCTATCGTATATTAAGAATATATATTTATATATGAAAATAATCATTATTTGTCAATCTTATTTATAATTATATTATTTATATTTATAAATGATTATTAATTGATTGTTCATAGTTATAACTATAATATCGTTTAAACGATTAAATTGTTAAACATGATTTGAAATAATCATTAATCATATTCGATTATTTACGTTTTCATCGATTAATAATCATATTGACAAGAAAATAGGTTTTTTTTCTAAGTTATCGATATATATATATATTCGATAAAAAAATATTTGAAATGATTTTTATTTAATAATATATTGATAAATCTCAAAATAAAATGTTTAATTAAATTTAATTCTATCTCGAACAATCGAAAATTGAATTTGTTTCAGATCTTATTTCAAAGACTTTTAAATAAAAATCCATATTATGAAATAGATTTTTATTTTAAAGAATTCCAACGAGTTTTTAAAAGTAAATTATTTTTTATATAGAAAATAAAACATTTAAAGTTTAAATAAAATAAACAAAAAAAAATCTCTTAAGAAATCTTCATTTGATAAGAAGTGAAAAAGAAAATTTTTAATTGAAAAAAACTAAAATAAAAAATGATATATATAAATAAAATCTTCTAATAGAGTGTTACCTTTAAGTATATAATCTAATTTAGCTAATTTGACATAATCATAAATAAAAGAAAAAACTAGAAATAAGTAAATGAAATGAAGCAATAAGATCATTGACAGTTGATGGATAAATTGTTTTAGCTAATGCATATATTGTCCATATAAGTGAATATAAATCTTGGTGTGAACATTTATTTAATTTATTTTTTGTATTTAATTTAGGATTTATTTGATTTAATGTTCTTTTATATTGATAATCAGAATAAATTAATTTATATTGATTTTCACCAAGTATTTCAATAAATATTTTTGTATATTTTTCATATATAATTTATGATATATTAAAACATGTTCCACATTTGATCGATTTTT